AAAAAAGAACCTCAATCGCAAAAAACCCCCGATATAATTAATTTAGATTTAGGGGAAAACCGTTTCTCCCACTCTGATAATCGACCAATGTACAGTGTCGAGCTCTATGCAATATAAGCGTGTATGAATATGTAGATCTCAGAGCAACCCTTTTAGCGGCAGGTTATATAGGTGATATATAGAGATCCCACACCGATAAATAGCCACCATTAAAATATTTTGGGTTCGTTCAAAAAAAATATACAGGCCACAATCAAAAAAATAAATCTAATCTAAAAAACTATATACTTCAACACGTCGACCATTAAATTTATTTTACACCTCAAGTAAAGACATAATCTCTTTGAATTGGAATTAATTCTGTTACTTTTATATATTTATGTCCATGTCAATCAGGATTTATGTCTATTTAAATATGATGTAAGCACAATTGGACTCCAAACATAAGCACAATTGGACCAAAACATTTAAGATGTTTGGATTTTACAGCATCTTTAACAACAAAATCCTTTAAATATTTTGTTTTCATTTTTCAATACCCACATTCACCCAAAACTTTAGAGGGTGTATTCATTTGTTTTTTAGTGATATTTTGAAACTTTTTTACATTGAGACTTAGGGAGGTGTAATCATTTGTGATTGAGTGTCATTTTGAAAAATTTTAAAATTTGAGACTTTTTAAAAATTTTCAGATTTTATAACCCTAAGAAATTTTAAGTCTAGAGGTAGTATTGAAGTGTGATTTCATATATGGTTTTTTCTTTTAAAGTTTCAGCAAAACTTAAAAAGTCTTAACAAATCCTAATTTCAAATAAGTTAAAAATACTTCAAAATTTTGTAAGACTTTTTTAAAATCTCTCAAGACTTTTAAAAGTCTTAAAAGTTTTTTAAAAAGTCTAAATTAAATACACCATAATTTTGAAGTCTTAAAAAATCATTAGAAATCCTAAACGAATACACTCTCTTACTCCTACATCACAAACCTTCTATAACAATAAATATCACAAACATATTTTTTATGGATTTCACATATTTCTCACTTACTTTATTTTAAAATTATTACTTTCATCTTTCTCACAGTCTTCTCCTTGATTTTGTATTATTTTATGCCCACTTGCAGGTTTTTGTGAGGTTTGAAATCTCAAACATGGTTTAAAAACACAAAACCTCAAACATCTTTTATAATGGTAAACCTCAGATGTTCGCGTTTCCAAACCTTTTCAAAACCTATTACTAAAGATGCCAGATAAACAGAGGTATGAAACTTTATCCCTCGTGTATTCTATTGGAATAGCAAATTCTCAAGTTGAAACTCGATGGATAAAATGGTGATTTCTATTTCTTAGTCCAATCCTATCCATATCATTTTCCATTGCCCCCATTGTAAATCATCATACATTTGGAGCTTTGGATCTTCCTTCAGGATTTTCATAAGGGTTTTGTGAGACACTGTCGTATGGGACAAAAATCCCGACACGTGTTCCCATATTATTTGTTGAAGAAAATCTTTTTTATTCTGACTCTGAGCTGGATTTACTTCCTCTTCAGAGTAGACTTATTCTTCCTCATAACTACTTTCTTATGAGGGGATGTCCTCAAATTGGTGTGCTTGTACCAAATCTTGATAATAGATAGCATCTTCGAATTATGGGGTAGCCTCAAATTATCTTATTCTCCGCCTTTGATTATCAAGGCAATCAGTCGATATATGCCCTTTTGCTCTGCAGGTCCAACAATTACAATCTTTAAAACATTCATTGGCCCGAGTGTGAGTCCTACTGAAGGTTCTTTGAATCGAATCTCTGCCAGTTTTATTTTGATTAGAAACGAAAGATGAGGATCTACTATGACTCGATGTTGATCGTTGTCCGGATTTGTAAATCCAGGCCTTTTGTTTCGACCAGTATCTTCGAGGTCTCCATGAGGACCTATTCTTCTTATATCCACGGGAATAAGTATTGTTGGTATGCCTTCTTCTTTTATTTCTCCGTGGTTGAACTCCAATACTTGTTGGAATGTCATTTTCTTCACAACACAGATGAACTGTTTTGTTGATTCCTTTAAGTCTTTTGTAATTTTTGTGTAGTGCCGCTTGATGACACCATTCGGACAATTTTGCCTTAAGGAATGACATCCTCTGGCCACTGTATCCATTTTGTCCATTTTATATTATTTGATTAACATTTCTTTCCATGGGCTGGGTATATTTGTAAAGAATAGTTGCGAAGCTTCAGAATCTGCTACCTTGGACTTCCATCTATACTTCGTAAATAGCTTTATATATTCATCTACATGACAAATTTCATGTAACTCCAAGCAATAGAGGGCTTGCATGTATGTCATTTGTTTTTCTTCTTTTACTCCTTCAAAGTGTCTCGTGCCGATAAATAATATTTGAGTACTTTAGAAAAATTATCGACTATTCTCTAGCTATAATATCTCATATTTACGTCTGGAGAAGTCATATCCCATGCAATTTTAACAGAACCTTCTAGGCTCATTTCGAGAAATGAAATGAACCCTTCCTTATTGAGATCCAAAGTTCCTCTGGCAATTATCATGGCGGAGGCCCAATCATCGATAAGGACCTCTCGATTTTTGAAATTTAAGGTGTACAGGTTAAACACTAACCCATAAGAATGAATTGGATCTAGTTGTGATTTCCCATAAGGAGTATTTCGAAGGTTTGACTTTCGAGAACGCATTCGAGTGAGAACGTGAACTTTCTCCTTCTAGAGGAGGTTCGGTTCTAGTTATTATTGTTGAACCATCTCTCGTATTCATTTTTAAATCTACTAGACCCATTCCTGTAAAGGATTATGCAACGTCGTGTAGATTTTCCAAACTGACTATTTTCATTATTTATTAGTGCATTTTCCTTTTAAGATGGTTCTCAATTTTTCGTCCTCCGTCATCGGCCTTCGAACTTCGGTTGGTTTATCCTTTTGGTGTAAAAGGAATATTGTTCCGAAAGTTACTTTTCTTCTTCCTCTGGAAATAGTTGGTGTGTCTTCCAAGGCTTTAATTTGTTTCTGGATACTTATAAGGATATCTAGAGTCTCCTTTTGGTTCTTCATGATTTCTTCTCTGGTGGATTTTTTCAGAAATTGTCAATTGGAGTTCTCCATAATTTTACACTGTCCTTTGTACTTCAGAATATCTATGGAGTACTTAGAAGAGTATAGAATAATTTATTTTCAGCCTAATAAATTATTATGACTTATCCTTCAATATGATTCATATGATTTATTTCTTGATGATTAAATAAATCAGTTTTTATCAATTGATTTACCTAGAGGATATCCATACGATACTTCTTTTGTTTTTGACAGAGTCTAATAGTAATTCTATCTACTCTTGCCATAACTTGCTCAACATAACGGTCATCCCAGTGGGCAACTATTTGTTGGTGTTCTTGTTCGCACATCTTCAAAATTTGAAGATATCTATTATAGTGCACACAATTTGGACAATTTTCACTATCCATTCTTAAAATTTTCTCCTCTCTAAATTTAATTACCACATAATAAATTCATCTAGGAGTTCTTAATAAAACATGGGCTCTGATACCATTTTATGCGTTGAGGTACCCTTTGAATAATTTCAGGTACTAGATAGAAAGAAATCAAGTACTGCATGAAATTTTTTAACTTAAGCTACTATTTTGAAAGAAGCAGGTATTATGGTGAATGAGAACAAGTACTTTTCTTTAGCAAATAGATATCGAGACAGACAAAAATGTAATTTTAACCTTATAGGGTACCATTTAGTTGACTATGAGTTGAATGATTTTTTTTTTTCTCTAGTGACTGATCGCAAATACTTAGGTGTGCGACCTTTTGTGAAATACAGCTCCTTCAAAAGCGCGTGAGGTAAGGAGGTAGAGTATTTTTTTTTAAAAAAAAATGGGACATGTGTTCTATTTCTATTGGGTAATGAATTTCATATATCATATTATATAAATTAAATTATCATTCATATTTTGTATCAAAAAATAAAAATAAAAATACCAAAATTCATAATTTTTCATTCTCTACAAATAGAGACCACATCTAATATTTTTTGGAACACAATTAATTTATCATTTTTTACAATTAATTTATCTTATTGGAAGATTATGACGCAAATTTATAATTAGATGAATATGTTACATAGTAAGATGAACATGTTATACAGTAAGATGAACATGTCATAGAATAAGATGAAAATGTTACATTTTTTCATAGATGAAATTTAGATGAACATATTCTAAAATAAGATGAACATGTTACATAATAAAATGAGCATGTTATAGAATAAGGTGAACATGTTACATAATAAAATGAACATGTTATATAATAAGATGAACATGTTACATAATAAAATGAACATGTTATAGAATAAGATGAACATGTTACATACACAATAAAGGGGAACATGTTATAAAATAAGATGAATATGTTACCAAAATGAGATGAACATGTTATAAAATAAGATGAATATGTATTATTTTCAATCTGCAATCTGTAACATGTTCATCTTATTTGAAAACATATTCATTTTGTTATGTAACATGTTCATTTTATGTCAGTATAATAAAATAATTACGAAAAAACGGAAAATTAGTTGTGTTCAAAAACCTATCAAATGTGGTCTCTATTTATAGATAATGAAAAATTATGAATTTTGATATTTTTATTTTATTTTTTTAATATAAATAATTAATGATATTTTAATTTATGTAATATGTCTCATTTTTCAATTAAAAAAGAAAAAATGGGAATGTGCACTACACTATCCAAATTTTTTAATTGTTTGGGGTGAAGGGGTGCGTGCAAATTTGCCTTGGCACACGGTAGTGCTACTGGTGATTGATTGAGAAAATAAACTTAGGATTGAAGATTTATCTATTTATCAACAAACTTAGGATTGAAGATTTATCTATTTATCTATAAATGGCCCCTTGTTTATTGTCAGTGCAATATATGTTTGATGTCAAAAATAAAAATATGTACATGTGAATATCTTAATCCAAAAGAAAAAAAAAAAATCACTTCATTATATTATATAAATAATTTTTGTGATGATATTTTATGTTGTAATTTTTTTTTTTAACATGTATATTTTTTGCTTCACCCAAATTCCATGTCAATAGCTAAATGGACCATATGGTGTATTTTATAATCACAAATTCACAATTCACAAATAAACCAAATATGCAAATAATGTCCATATGTGCACAATATATAGCTAGATACCATTTCCTCCAATCATTCTCCTCTGTGGTTCCCTTGGACCTTCTTGCTGAGTGGACCCCACTCCTCTCTCCTCAAAGGCAACAAAGTATCTCTCCTTTCTGAACATATACCGGCGGAAGAGGAGGAAGGAAGTGAAAGAGTAGAAGAAAACTCTTCCTCTGCTTCTACGGAACTGGTATTCATTTATTTTATTTTATTTTGTTTTATATGAACTTGTAAATTTCATATTCTTTTTGTCACCTTGACTTCTCTTTTTCATCAAGTCTTGATTTTTTTTTTCTGCTTCTCTTTTTTTCTGTCTGCTCTCTCTATGGCGCCTTCTTTCTTGCAGTTATCGGTGTTCTTCACCTTGATCATGAGGTACTCTCTCAATTCGTGTGTGAAATTTATTAATTATTTTTTCTTTCCACTGTTCAATTTGAGGTGGGTTTCGCTTGTATTGTGTTTATTCTCTATTTTTCGTGGGTTTAGCTTGATGGGTTATTTTTCTAACATTGAATTCAGAAGTCTTATGATTAAATTTGCGAACTTTATGTGGTTTACGTCGGTAAAGTTCTGATCTTCTTTTTCCCCTTTCTTTCTTTTTCGGGCTTCTGTCTTAATGTTTGCATGTCGTGGGGTGAAACTTAAAAGTGTGTTATTCATGTGTGTTACATGAATTCTTTGTCAGTTCCTGTGATTTGGGAAGTTATTTGGTTGTTGTGTATGATGATGGATATCATTCTCTGGAATTTTTGTGAGGGTTGACCAAAAATAAAAATTTGTGCTCGTGTGGGTGTGTGTGTGTGTCTGTGTCGCCTTTTCCTTTTCCTTTCTTTCTTTCTTTCGTTTTCTATTGCAATTTCTTTTATTAGTTCAATTACTTTGAAATTTCGGCTGTACTCAAGATGTGACTGAGATTATTTATGATATGTTTTTTTATGGTGCTCTAAAATTCTAAATTCTTCCTTTTGCCATGGAAAATGCTTGCTTTATTCACATTTCTCCTTTTTATCAGTCTGAGGTTTACTAGTTGGTGCCTTATGTGGAGTTAAGTGGTGGCCAACACCATGTGCTTCTTGTGCCCATGCTTCTTTATGTCTGCTCACTTATTGAGCTTCCTTTGACAGTGACCTTTCCTTTTTCTGTTTTTTTGGTTAGAAAGAGCAAAAAAATTTAGAACATTGCTTCATCTGAATTTGTCTGGCTAAATTAGCACTTTCACGAACTTGATTAAGACAATATCTCTTGTTCTTCTTTTTCACTTATCTATATGATACTTGTTTGATTTATCATATTAATATTTTTGCTCATGGAGCTAGTTTACAGCTCTAAATAAACTTTTCTACTTTATTATCTAAATACTGCCGATCATCTTTGTCGCCCCACTTAAAATTGTGAACATTTGTTTCCACTAAGCACTTGCCATCTCAATAACTATCACAGTTAGTTTTCACTGTTTTTTCTGCAGGAAATAATTTGAATGGAGCAGCCTTCAAAAAATTTCATCAACGGTCAGTCTGAAAAGCAGTTGTCCATTCATTATTGAGTTATTATATACATTGCTGCACTTTTTATGTAAAAAACTGAAGAACAAAATTCTTTTATTACCTGATTTACCATGGCATTCCACATTTTCTCCCCCTGTTCTGTAGGTCCTCCTAAAGTTCCTCTAATGAGCTCTCAATATAAGGAGGAGAAAACTGCTTGGGGACTTCCTAGAAGAATGGATATGTATCATACACCAAGTGTTGCCAGCTTATTTTCTACTTCACTGCCTATCCTTCCTCATGAGAAATGTGAGTATGAGTAACTGAGCTCCTGGCTGAATTATTTTACTATATATATATGATTTAGTGTTTGATTTATTATTATTATTGCAGTTAACCTTAATGATGATAACTTTCCAAGTCTTAGCAAACTACGACTAACGAATGAATTAAAGGACCCAGCTGAAGGTATTGAACCAAACGCGATAGGAAGCTTTCTCCCGGGTGATGAGAACGAACTCTTGGCTGGTCTCGTTGATGATTTTGATTTCAGTGGTTTGCCAACTCAGCTCGAGGATTTGGATGATGATTTTTTTGGGAGCGGAGGGGGTCTAGAAATTGAACCAGAGAGCCGGGAGAATATGGTCAACGACTTATCGAGGTTAAGTGTTGCTGACAGTTTTAGTGGCAACAGCATTTCTCATTATGGTTTTATGAATGGTTTGGGGCCAGTTAGCGGCGAACATCCATATGGGGAGCACCCCTCAAGGACGCTGTTTGTTCGTAATATCAACAGTAATGTGGAAGACTCTGAACTCAGGTCTCTTTTCGAGGTACTCTTGCTGAATTATTTCAGCTTATTATTGTTATACTATTATTGGAAAGATTCGTGTTGCAACCTCTCCATTGTTTTGCTTAATTATTCAGCTACTATGGATTTTCTTCTTTGCGAATGAATGGGGATTTTCATTTTATAATGGGTAAAATGTATTCACAATCTTATAATTGGTTGGATGATGTAAATCTGCAAAAGTTTTTCATATAGAAGGTATGAGGAGGTGAAGGAAGGGTCGGCACTATATTTGCATGATATGATAAGTATCTAAGTAAGGAATGAAGGATAAGTACAGCTTTTGTGGTCTATGGAGTTGTGATGGCTGGTTTTGAAATTGAGAATTTCTTGTGAATCCATTTATTTGATTCTATGTTTCTTATGATATGAATGGATTAATAGTAACCTTACTTGTGCCGTCATATCGCTAAGGAATTATTTTTCAGCGTCCATTCTGTAATTTGATCGTTTTCTTACTCAGACATATTTATCACTTAATTTGAATTTTTTTATCAGAAAGTTTGCTATACTCGTTGTTACAATGTTACAATTTTATTCATTTAACACTTAATTTGAATCTTTTTATTAGAAAGTTTGCTATACTCAATATTAACATTTTCATTTAAGATGCATAGTTTCTCTTAATCTATTATTATTCAAAAGGATATTGTATATTACAATGTAAATCATTTAGGGTGAATTTGGATATCCATTCAATTCCATTTCATTTATTTTTATTTTTTAATTTTAAGAAGAACAATAATTAATTGTGACGTGATAGTGAATAGTAAAATAATGATTGGTAGTTATATATATATATATATATATATACATATATATATATATATACATGATTGGATTAATTAATAAATTTTGATAGATAAATGTATAGTAAATAGTAATGATTGATTTCTAATTTAAAAATTGTATTCACATGAACAGTAGCTCTGGCAAAACTCTTTCGGAGTTGCATAATGTAGTAATTTCAACTTTGTTTGTATCACGATATTTGTGTTGCTTTGATATCGCTCATCTCTGCACATGAGTTCCTATTTTAGCCTAATTCACCGACCACCCCTAATTGTCCGTTGAGAAACATTATGATCAGGTCCATATCATAGTTATATATGGCTTCTTATAATTTAATAATTCATACTTACCTTTACATAATTACTTTATTGAACATATTGAACTACTAATTTCCTATAAATTTTTTTATATGCTCCTTTCATAATAGCAATATGGAGATATCAGAACTCTTTACACTGCATGTAAGCACAGGGGATTTGTAATGATATCTTACTATGACATCCGAGCTGCTCGAACTGCAATGCGTGCATTGCAAAATAAGCCCTTGAGAAGAAGAAAGCTTGATATTCATTTTTCGATTCCGAAGGTTTGAAGCTATGATAATCTTTCCTTTTTTTTTTTTTTTTTTTTTTTTACCTTGCATGTCTCTTAACAGAAAACCTCTTAAAACTATTGTTTCTTGCTGCATGCAGGACAACCCATCCGAAAAGGATATTAATCAAGGAACTTTGGTGGTCTTCAATTTGGATGCTTCTGTATCTAATGATGATCTTCGTCAAATATTTGGAACTTATGGAGAAATTAAGGAGGTACGGTTTGCAACTTTGCATGCCATGTCAAGAATTGCCAAGTATATGTATCTATTATTCTTGATGTTAATTAATTTCTTCCCTTTCTTTGGGTTTGGTACTGCCTTAACTGTAGATAAGGGAAACACCACATAAACAGCACCATAAATTCATCGAGTTTTATGATGTTAGAGCTGCAGAGGCAGCTCTCAAGGCTTTAAATAGAAGTGATATAGCTGGGAAGCGCATAAAGCTTGAACCTAGCCGGCCAGGTGGGGCCCGTCGGAGGTAAAATCCGATTCTTAAGTGTAGGCCAATCACATGTTGGGATAGAGTGTGCTTGAATTACTAGTGAATAGCTTCTGGTTTCTTTTTATTTGCACCAATTAATGCAAAACAACATTAGTTGAACTAAAATGTGTCTGTAATACTAAATATGTCCTAAAGGAAAAATAGTTGGATGATGGAAGTTCCGGTTCCTCGATGAATTATTTACTAAATGTGTCTGTAATACTAAATATTCTTCGTCATTTGATTATTTTATCATCTTTATTGGTCTCGTGGTTTTATATTTTGATCATCAAATTCTTTTTCAGCACATGGTTCTTTTTCAAATATACTTAACTGTCCCTGCACAGCTTGCTGCTGCAACTGAGTCAAGAGCAAGAGCCAGATGAAGCTCGAGCTCTACGCCATCAAGTTGGCTCCCCTGTAGCCAACTCTCCTCCTGACATTCTAATTGATGGTCTGAGTACTTTCTACCAAAATTCTGATTGACTATGTCCATAAAAATAAAAGTCTCATGTTGTAACCGATTGAAACTCAAACTTATTTCCAGGTAGCTGGCATAATTTTGGCAGTCCAGTCGAGCAGAACTCGTTGCATGGTTATTCCCAGACGCCTAATTTAGCACTCAGCCCTGTAGGAAGCAATCACTTGCCCGGTTTAGCCTCTATTCTTCCTTCTCACATACCGAGTCACTTGAAGATGGCTAATATGAATCATGGGCTGGCCCATTTTTCAGTTCCCAGTCCCACTTTGAGCTCAAGCCCACGACCCATCTCGTTGTTTAGTGATTCGAATCCGTCGAGCGTTGGAACACTTTCTGGTCCGCAGTTCTTATGGGGCAGTCCCTCTGTTCCTTCAGACCAAACTAATTCATCCAGGGGACAGAGATTAATCGGTTTTCCTTACACTACTCAGCAAAGCTCGATTCTTGGTTCTCATCATCATCAAGTAGGGTCAGCTCCATCGGGTGTTCGGATGGAAAGAAATTTTGGATTTTTCCCAGGGTCACCTGAAACATCTTTCGCAAACCAGAAAAATTTTGGAGTTGCGAATTTCGGTCACAGCAAAACAAACTTGGGAGTTGCTTTTGCCGGGAGCTTTGGTGAAAGCGGTTCTCCTAGCTCTCGAATGATGCCGGTTTTGAGAAATGGGCCTTTGTACTTTGGGAGTGGCTCGTTTGGGAGCATGGGTGATGGGTTACTTGACCGTGGTCGAGTTAGAAGGAGTGACGGTGGAGTTCAGACGGATAACAAGAAGCAGTATCAACTTGATTTGGAGAAGATTGCGAATGGGGAAGATAGTAGGACTACTTTGATGATTAAGAACATCCCAAACAAGTAAGGACTGAAAATTTTGTTTTGTTTTCTTTTTTCCTTTCTCTTTTCTATTTTCTTTTCTTTTGCATTTTTGATGGGTCTTCTTTTCCTTATCTGAAGGTACACTTCGATGATGCTGCTTGTGGCTATTGATGAAACTCACAAGGGAACATATGATTTTCTGTATTTACCTATAGACTTTAAGGTAAGTCGTGTGTTAAATTAAATGAACTTTCTTCACTCTTTTCTTGAGTCTGAATCTGTTGAATTACTTATATATATATATATATATTTTTATTTTCTATTTTTTCAGAATAAGTGCAATGTTGGGTACGCCTTCATCAACATGGTGTCGCCTTCTCACATCGTCACCTTTTATGAGGTAATTTTCATCAAACTTATTTTGGCCGGAGTTCGTAATATCTGCAACCTTTCTTAATTTTATTACATACTTTCACTCCTTATATCCCATGCTTTTTCTAATGTGCATTTTGACTTGCCGTTTTTCAGGCATTTAACGGGAAGAAGTGGGAGAAGTTCAATAGTGAGAAAGTTGCTTCATTGGCGTATGCGAGAATCCAGGGAAAAAATGCCCTTATTTCCCATTTTCAGAATTCGAGTTTAATGAATGAGGACAAACGATGCCGACCAATTGTATTCCGATCAGAGGGCCAAGAGACTGGCGATCTGGTAACATTTCTATTTTCCTTTTTTTTTTTTTTATTCTTTTCTACTGAAACTGCATATCTTGTATTCTAGCTGTTATATGTTGTGGTAGATCATATGATAACTAATGTGAGCTCATTTTCGGACAAATTAGGAACCTTTCCCATCTGGAAATCTGAACATATTTATCCGCCAGCCGGATGGCTCCTATGCAGGAGATTCTCTCGACAGCCCAACTGGTGAACCAGATGAGATGTGCTGAGAAATATGTATATTTTGCTAACAGTTCTTATTTGTTTTGTTTGTGTTAATGTCCCCATTTTCTTTCTTCTTATTATGATTATTTTGTATTTGGGGCCTAATTGTGAAGTTCAATTCCAGCAAATGTATAGTAGTTTCTAGAGGTGGATGAAGATGGGAAATGTTGTATAGATGGGTTGCTTCCTGGAAGTGTATAAGATGGTATTGTCTGAAAGTTCCATTTTTATTTTTTATTTTTGGCCAAATTGTGAGTTACTGCCTTCCACTTTTTGACAATCTTTGCTGGAACTTTTGGATAATTGCAAACGAAGACGGAAATGAAATTCTATCAGGAAACTCAAGTTTTATTAGTTTTCTAGGATCAAGAATTATGTTTGAAGTTTTATTCTAATATTTGGTCATTATAGTCGCTCTAAAAAGAATCAATGGTATAAAACAATAAATCTTCAATGTAATATTTGATCACTACTGTCGGTGTTTTAAAAGTATATAAATTAGTATAAATCTTATATGTAGGTCCCCCGTAGTTGTTTGTATCTTTTACTTTATTTTAAATTTAATGCGTATAAGCCACTATAAATGTGTATTTTCCTTAACTTTTAAAATCTTATAATTTTTTTTTATCTATATTTTATTTTTCATATATGGTATTATCCATCATTTAACGATAATCGACTTGACATTTATATTGCATATATAAAAATATTTTTAAGGAATATGTAAATTTATTCATCAACCAAATTGAAAAATATCAAATAAACTATAGATTATCATATAAAATAATAAAACAAAATTATATTATTATACCATAAAATACATATTTCAGTGTATTTTCCAATACATTTGAAAAACAAATTGTAGAAAACAAGTATTAACGTAAAGTGAATATAAATAAATATTCTGTCCTCGACTTAAATAAAGCGTTCAAAGGTATTGAATCTATATATATATAATTACTAGCTCAAAACATTTAATAAAACCTATTTAATTTTACCTATGTGGCAATTTATTAATTTTCCCTCCAAAAACCGTTACATTTTGATGTATTTAATCTTTCATTTAATCATTAAATAATTAATACTCATCACTTCAAAATTACAAAAATCATTTTAAATTTTTTCTTAATGACAGTTGACCATAAAATGTGTTGACCGTATAATGTGATTAGATGTTATTATTGTTGTTACATTTAATTTTTTTCTTAAAAATAAAAAATATATTTGAAATTCCTAAATAAATAATAAATAATTCACAAATAAAAGACGTACCAAAATATACATTACATCTAATCAGATAAACGCAATTTTAAAAAAAAAATATTCCAACTCTTTAATTGTAAATTTGGTCTGCAAAAAGTGAAAGAAAAATAATTAATCATTATATGCATACAAACTCACAATAATTTATTTATATCTGTGCAAATGCACAGGTCGAATAATATATATATATAATTACTAGCTCAAAACATTTAATAAAACCTATTTAATTTTACCTATGTGGCAATTTAATAATTTTTCCTCCAAAAACCGTTACATTTTGATGTATTTAATCTTTTATTTAATCATTAAATAATTAATACTCATCACTTTAAAATTACAAAAATCATTTTAAATTTTTTCTTCATGACAGTTGACCATATAATGTGTTGACCGTATAATGTGATTAGATGTTATTATTGTTGTTACATTTAATTTTTTTTTTAAAATAAAAAATATATTTGAAATTCCTAAATAAATAATAAATAATTCACAAATAAAAGACGTACCAAAATATACATTACATCTAATCAGATAAACGCAATTTAAAAAATAAAATATTCCAACTCTTTTAATTGTAAATTTGATCTGCAAAAAAGTGAAAGAAAAATAATTAATCATTATATGCATACAAACTCACAATAATTTATTTATATCTGTGCAAATGCACAGGTCGAATACTAGTTTTATTACAATATTGAGAATAAAACATATAAATGAACATCATAATTAAAAATAATAAAAATAGTCATGATGTAGCATAAAGTTAGAAAATAAATAATAAAAATAGTCATGATATAGCATAAAGTTAGAAAATCTTAGCAGTTATATTCATTAATTTTATTTTAATTCATCACATATTATAAAATTTAAAATATATAAAAAAACAGATGATCAGAGATCCCAACTCTAAAATTAAATATAATATTGGATTAAATTAGATTTATGAAGTTGCAAATATTGTTTATTAATTTAAAAAATATAAAATTTATGAAGGTGATTAAAAACGATAAATTTTATTTACAAATTGAATATAAAATTTGGGTTTCATTTTAAATAATTTATAATAATTATCATTATGTTTGTTATTTTTTATTTATTAAATATTTATTTTTTATATTTTCTTAATAATAATATAAATTATTACTTCTTCTTTTATAAGTACTTCCTTTTCATATACTCATGTAAAACAAAAATATCGTACTAGTATATATTATGTTAAAACTAATATTCTTTTATCTGTGAACACGCACACACGAGATCAGGTTAATTATATTAAGTATTAAATAAAATTTTAATTTAGTTTTATAAAATATTAAAATGAATTATTACCAATTATAAAACTTTTGGTGTACACAATATTATATATGTTGACTAATTCTCCCTCTATAACAATATCTTTATTTTTTGATTCATCCTTATTTAAAATAAAAGCGTAGCTTATTTCAACTATGCAAACTACAGTTTTGCTATGGAGTCATCAGATGACACAACTTATTGAACCATCCACACTTATTCACAAATAATGTATTGACCCGTGTCCTAAATTAAATACAATTTAAATACGTGTCATTACATTAAGTGGTAGAGGGCTTCATAAGAAAATCATGCGATGACTCCATAGAATTTTTTATGCAGACCACGCATCATGTGTATGATTAACAAAGGTAATTAATTAAATATACTTTGGGGTTGATAAATGGTGTAAACAAATTAAAAGAGGCCAACAACAAATAGGCGTGATTGGACTATTCAAACTTAATGTGGTGCATGCAAATCTTATGCGGACATTATCTGAATCATTCACTCACTTGGAATGATTGAGCATTCACCAAACCCTCTAACAAGACATTTGCATGATCTATTAGTTATTGTTACCATAAGAATTTCAAACTGGTAATTAAGGGTACATCGAAGAGGGTATCCATATGTACTGGGAAAAGAGAGAAAGATCAATTGTTTTGAGAATCTGGCATGTATAAATGTAGTATTATATTTCCAATTATCCTATTAGTATTAGTAAATTCTTAAAGTTGGCTCTAAACAATGTCCTTGGAAAATAGCAAATATCATTCAAGTGATTTTAACATTCTTGGTGAAAAATGGTGTTGGGATCATATATACCAACTACTACTTGTTTGTCTTAACTAGAATTAACTGTTAATTTGTATAACAATTAATGCAATCAGGACAGAAGAAAAATCAATAGCGGACTGAGCTTCATTTATAGGTTTGATCCGTTAATCAAGTCTGTTAATTAGCTTGTTTTTTAATAAAAAAAATGTATTTTACAAACTTTTTGAATCCAAAATAATAATAATAATAATAATAATAATAATAATAATAATAATAATAATAATAATAATAATAATAGTAAAATCAAGGTAATGCCATTTTTTATGGAGAATGTATATATAAAATAACACAAAAAGGTTTTATAAAAACAATTATAGAAATTGATATTTACCAAAACACTCTTACAAACTGTTAATATTATATTCATATCGGTCACTGTAATCAATATCCGCCACAACAATATTAAAATATAAGAGCATCATTAGCATGTAAACCCCTAAACTTTCTTTTTACACTTTTCAATATGCCACGTTCAAAATCTCATTCTTACTACTATACCCATAAACCTTCAATAACAATAAATTTAATTCATAAACTTATTTATTAATGGTCCTACATGTTTCCCACATATTTTTAATTAATATTATACTCTAATACTTTTAATAATATTTTAAAAATATAACTTAAATTTGTAAGAATATTGGTTTGCCATCATCCGAAAAACCTAAGTGTTTTCTAGAAGATTTTCTTGTTAGGCAAGCAAAATAAATTAAAGGAAAGTTTTCTATTTATTTACTTGTTAATTAATTAAGTTCCTATTATTTATTATTAATAATATATGTTATATATTTATTATAATGTGTATTATGGCGTCCTAAACCTTTAGGAGAATGATACATAATACTCCCTCCATTTTGAAATATAAGGCGTATAAAGATTTCTCATTTTTTTTGAAATATAAGGCGCGCTCAAAAATCAAGACAAATTTTTGCATTTTTTTCCAAATATACCCTCATTGTGTTGAAATTAAGGAAGTGTGGAGTGGTTGTGATTAGAGTAAATAAGGTTAATTTAGTCAATTTATTCATTAATTAATGTCTCCTTAATATTTGTGCAATAACCTTAAATGCCTTATATTTCAAAATGGAGGGAGTATATATCTTATATATGTACTTATCATATATGCCACATGCATTAATGAGTTTGATTCTATGCCATAATTAGTTTTCTCTTTCTTGTAGGACAAAGAATAAGTGGCAAGGACTATGAAAGGATGAAAAATTCGTGCATAAGGAGTTCTGGACGTTCATGAAAAGATCTAAGGAGGATTTGAAAAGATTAACCACAAGATCTTTGAAAATTTGAGAGATCGATTATTTTATGAAAGTCTTGTTCTTACACGAGTTGAGAAGAGATCAAGAGAATATTTACTTTCCATGTTTCCGCATCATACAAGGAAAGAAGATCTTGAGAGAGAAGGAAGAGTCCTACACTTACCATGTTACTATGGATAAACTTGAAAGAAAATAAAAAAGAAGTCTTATACTTGGAGAAGACTCCACACCTAAGGAGTTGTATATATCTTCCATTCAACATTCGAGGTTCAAGCCTTTTAGGTTTTATTTTCATTGTTCAGTTTACAGTATTCTTACGACATTGAAGAACTGAAGTCTTTTGTTTTGATTCTTGTGTTTTTCATTCAAACACTTTTATGATCAGTACTTAGGGATTAAGTGTTGTTTTCAGCTCGAGGGATTCGAGATTTAAAGTCCACGGGACATGGCCGGAGAAGTAGTTAGTAGATTTGAGTATAGTTGTTGGTTAGACTAGAAGGGAGTTCTATGTGCTGTAATTCTAAAATTATACGCATATGCACAATCGAGTTATCAATGAAATAGCTCTGAGGGAAGTGAGACTCTTCCCTGAAGAGTTTTTAAATCTTCGGTTTATTGCTTCCGCTATTCTAGTTGTTTATTTGTGTTCTAACAACGTTGAACACACTTATTGTAAAATACTTACATTTCAAAATTTTTATTCTTATTCAATATCCGAAAGGTTTCATATAATTATCACGTATACATAAATATAATAATTATATATAATTATACGTTTTGTTTAATATAATTTTATGATAAATATAAATATCATATAATTTTTATTCAGTTATAACATACTAAATAATATGTAAATAATTAAAAGTAAATCAATAACAAAATATAATATTATTCAAAACATAGCAGTAAAAAAATAAATATTTGTTACAAATATTATATTAAAAATATATAAAATAAATTGTTTTCTAAAACAAGAAACAAAGACGTGGTCGGCCATGGTGGGCCAGGTGTAAAAACACTATAAAAGAGGTGTCAAATGTGCTTCTACATGGTGGGCCAAGTGGTTTTCCAACTCTTGCTTTGGGGAACGCGTGTGTAGTAAATGTTCTTTTATATGATGAATTGAGCGGTGAACTGTGTGAAACTCACCCCCTTATTCATATCTATGTATGTATTTTATTTTGGTGTACTTTTTGTATTGAGGTTTAAGGGAGGTTTGAATTTGTAAACCTAGTTTATTCTATTAAATATACTACCAAATAAAGATAAGTAAAAGAAATAAAAAATAATGGCGTCACCAGATTCAGTTCCCTTTATTGCATTGAACCAAGAGGAGAATACCAGAAAATAAATTCCTTTTAGCAGATGAAGTCAATGATTTATGGAATAATTAACGGCAGCGAGTCGTTGGGTCAAAGATGAAAGAACCAAAAATTTATAGGTTTTTGGTTAGTAGTTTAAAATAGATTTGTAGTGGCTTGAGTTGGAACACATTGATAGTCTTTTTCTGGGCTGTTTCTCAAGAAAAGGATGATAAATGATGAGAAACATTTGTACACAATTGAAAGGAGTAAAAAGAAGGAAAAATATACCTATAACTTGAAAAGGGGACTTTAGTAATCTTGCTGAGCTTGGCGTATAGCAATTAGCAAGTTAAAAGATGGTCCATTTGAAAAATCAATCACATAAATTGTTGGTTGATTCGACTCTACCGATATGCAGTGCACTCACGAATAGAGTGAAATTTGCCCGATAATGTGAAACGTTGGAAAGGGTTCGGCATATTACCTTTTGAGAAAATTGCAATTTTAGTCCAGTAACTTAGGCTGTTTTCCACTTTAGTCCAGTAACTTGGGCCGATCCAAAATTGGTCCAAAAACTTCTAAAATGTAGTTAAATTAGTCCAATTCCGGTCCCCGTCGCCGGAATCCGAATTGCCAACTCAGCACATTCCGATCGGATTCCGGCGACGGAGACCGGAATTGGACTAATTTAACTACATTTTAAAAGTTTTTGGACCAATTTTGAATCGATCCAAGTTACTGGACTAAAGTAGGAAACAGCCTAAGTTACTGGACTATAATTGCAATTTTCTCTTACCTTTTTTTCATTAAGATTTACAATTTGATTAGTTTCAAATATTAGAGGCAATTTTTAGTATTTCCGTACTTTGTCTTAACATGTTATGTAAAATGGCACATATATAAATTATAAAGAGCCACTCAGGAAAGGAAAAAGAAAAAGAAAAATATTAGTCCCACTGAGTGGCGGATCCACATGCTGTATAGGGGGCTATATTGTCCCCCAAAACTTTACTATGCATATATACACATTATAAATATTTTATTCAATTTTTATCCTTTACTTCATAAATATATAATAAACATATTCAATTTATATCTACAATCAATAATTATTACTAATTAATATATTGCTCTGTCTATTAATCATTTTTAAGTACATTATATTGTTGTAAATATTTTTCACTCTTCATCTATAATATTTGGTGTTTTTCTTTGTAATATAGGATTTAATTGTAACATCTTTCAATAAAAAATTTTGAAATGGCAAAGCATGCAAGATATGCAATTTCGTGGGGTTAAAAAGTAATCGTAATAACTATTAACACTGAATTAATTGTTAATGAGTCTCCTTACAGAAATTGTATGTGTGTGTATTATAAAAAATTAATATCCTTTCTAAAGGTATTACTAAAAATATATATCGCACGTTCAAACTCGTGTTTGATTGATAAATTAACCAGTTCGGCTTGACTAATTTAAAAAACAAGTGAGACTCAACTCTGTTAATACTCAAATTCGATTAGGTGTTTGAGATTAGTTCGTTTAATTATAAGAATAAGTTTAACTCGAGTTTTTACGAGTCAAGCCGAGCTATGTTCGCAGACATTTTTGTTCGACTAACAACTCTAGTCTCCCTCAAAAAATTTTTCTAGATCCGCCCCTGGTCCTAATCGCCCTCTCAAGCGTGCCTGTAGTTGGGGGGACAAAAAATTAAAGAGAATAATTTGACCATCACAAATATTCTAGTAAATATTGATGCAGCTGACTAAATTAGTTCGTTCCGAATTTTTGAGACAAGTGGTTGGTTTGGCTAATATGCGAACTGGAGTCTGATGACAAATACTCATTAATTAATAAAATTCGAGTAAGACATGCACTAAAATGCAAAAATATCCACTACCTAATTGCTAAGAGTGATAATAATACCCACTACTAACTCACACGTTGAAGCAAAATATTTGCTATTTAATTCCTTCGCGGACAGTTTCTATAATTGCAAGAATTATATATAAAAATTATTACTTATTTCTTATTGGGGAATATTTAATTGTGATGATTTAAAAACATTTACCGAACATTTTCTATAATTGCAAATATTATATATAAAAACTATTACTTATTTTAAGTTATTGGGAAAATTTTATAGTGATGATTTAAAAACAATGTTTTAACCAAACAGGTCCCCGAAGTCAAACTTGGGCCGATTCGAACGCTTGGACCTAAACATGACCACGGGTCGAACAAGCCGCTAGTTAGGCCCGAATCGCCTCAGAACTGGCCGGTGTTCAACAGGCCTTGAATCGGGCAGGTTCTGGGCCACATATATGTACTTTTTGAATTGTTGGGCTGATTCCGAACTAGAACCAAAACTAGAACCGATAATTTAGCCATTTTTCTATTTTTTCTTTAGTTTTTAATATTTTTTTAATTATTTTTTTAAATGAATTGGACAGGCCCGAAACCGGCGGTTCACCGAATCGGCTCAGACCTGCCGGTTCACCGCACCGGCAGACCTGGAACCGACGGCTCACCGAACCGCCCCGGAACTGCCAGATCATCGAACAGACCTGTGCGTATGTTCGAGCCGGTTCAGGGTCCTTCAATCCTTAGCCCGGAACTGATTTTGGCCATGCCTACTTGGACCACCTCATAGTCGACCCTCCATTGATCTGGTTGACCTAGGGTTGACCCGATAATTTTATTTATTTAATATATATATATATACATATAATTTTAGGATATGTGTTAATTATCTTTTATATATTCGTTACATATGTCTATGTGTTAATATTTATGGCGATAAATAATAATGTTAAAGTTTTGGAATATACAATTTTCATGTAAATTATTTATTTTTTATTATTATTTATCAAAACATATAAGGAAAATACCGCATATGTATTTTTGAGAATATTAAAATTAATTATATAAGGTGTGTTTGTATATAAATTTACTCAATTCATTTTCAAAATCTAACTTAACTCTAACCCAACTCTACTATCCTCGATATTATCAATATAATTAAATAATATCAACCAATCATTCTTACAAATCACATAAACTTCAATTCACTGTTCATCAACTCACATAATTTTAACTATCACTTCAAATATTTTTTCTCCTACTTTTACATCAAATCTATTTTAATTATTTTATTTTAAATATTATTTTAATATAAACTCAAAATCCAACTAATAACTAATCTTACCATTTTTTCTAAATACCCTTAGTTAATAAAAAAAACTCATTTTAAGTGAATATATTTGTATACAAATTACAAACACACCCTTAGTTTTGCAATTGATTGATTAATGAATGGACGATTGTACCGGTGGTGGTGGCCCGACGATTCAGATGCAAGTTGCATCTTGCAACGCGGGGGCGTTTGAAATCATTTCTAGGTATAAGAATCCGATATAAAATGTGATCCTACGTTGATATTAAAAATTAAAAAATGAATAGAAGGCTCCACCACAATCAATGCCTAACTAAATTTGCATGGTCAACCCCCTCTCTCTGTACACACCCTTTATTACACTTATAAATACTCTGTCACTCCCCATTCCCCTCTCATTTCTCATCACCTCCTTTTATTTTCTTTTCATATTCTTATATTTTTTCTCTTCATCTCATAAAACACTCACTCAACACACACAAACCTAATCAATCAATCAATCAATAAATCCATGGACTACTTTCCCACCGTTCTCCACCGCCTCGCCGACTGGTTCCTCCACTTCTTCCTCCCATCCGAGCTCAAACGCCCCCGTCCCCTCTTCCAAAATCACCCCTCCAAGCCCCCCACGCCCCTCCACGCGCCGCCCTACCCCGACGTCTCCAAGTGCCGTCCCCGCCTCTCCCACACCCTCACCTGCGACGTCCACCGCTGCCTCCTCAGGTCCCCTTCCTTCTTCCCCTTCTTCATGCTCGTTGCCTTCGAGGGCGGCGGCCTCCTACGCGCCCTCCTTCTCCTCCTCACGTGCCCCGTCACGTGGCTCCTGGGCGGCGACCTCGGGATGCGGGCCATGGTGTTCGTCACCTTCTGCGGGCTCACGCCCGAGGACGTCGACGGCGTGGCCCGGGCCGTGCTTCCCAAGTTCTACCTGGAGAATCTCAACCGGCACGCGTACGAGGCGTTTGTGTCTGCCGGGAGGCGGGTTGTGGTCACGAGCGTCCCCAGGGTCATGGTGGAGGGGTTTTTAAAGGAGTACCTGGGGGCGGATAAGGTGGTCGGGACAGAGTTGCATCGGGCGGGCCGGTTTTTTACGGGCTTTGTTTCGGGCTCGGGGTTGGTAGTGAAGCACAGGGCTGCCAGGGAGATTTTTGGGGATAAAAAGCCCGATATAGGTATTGGGAGCCCGAGCCCGCACGACCATCTGCTGATGTCTCTTTGCAAGGTACGCGTGATCCGTGCCCTTAGAAGGAAAAATGAATGAATTTTGGTCGTTTGTAATAATATTGATCTTCTAACACTTATAAAATGTGCACACCATACTTGTGTTGACAAATGTAGTTGCAGTCAGTCATTCCATTCTTCTTTTATCAAAGCCAAATCTGATTAATTTAAAATTCCACATTTCACACGCATGATCACACACATATATTTCCAAACATCNCTCTGGCTCCCGGCCGGCCTCCTCCTCGCCGTCTTCCGCCTCCTCATCGGCATCCTCCTCCCCTACCGCCTCTCCGTCCCCCTCGGCGTGGCCAGCGGGATCCTCCTCAACTTCTCGGGCCGGGCCCCTCCACCCTCCCCGGGCCGGGCCGGAACCCTCTTCGTCTGCTCCCACCGCACCCTCCTCGACCCCGTCTTCCTCAGCACCTCCCTCGGCCGGCCCCTCACAGCCGTCACCTACAGCCTCAGCAAGATGTCCGAAATCCTCGCGCCCATAAGGACCGTCAGGCTGTCACGCAACCGCCACCTGGACGCCCGCACGATGCGCGGCCTGCTGGCCGAGGGGGACCTTGTTGTCTGCCCGGAGGGGACCACATGCCGGGAGCCCTACTTGTTGAGGTTTAGCTCGTTGTTTGCTGAGCTGGCGGAGGAGATAGTGCCGGTGGCTGTGAACACGAGCGTGACTATGTTCTACGGGACGACGGCTGGTGGGCTCAAGTGCCTGGACCCGATATTCTTCCTGATGAATCCGAGGCCGTACTACAGCGTGGAGATTCTGGAGAAGGTGCCGAGGGAGATGACGTGTGCGGGCGGGAAGTCGAGGCATGAGGTGGCCAATTATATACAGAGGGAGCTGGGGAGGGCTTTAGGGTTTGAGTGCACCAACCTTACGAGGAGAGATAAGTACTTGATGTTGGCTGGGAATGAGGGTATTGTAGAGGACGACAAGAGGGAAAATGAAAATTGATGATCCCTTTTTGACTAGTTTACTAATTAATTATTATGTCGGGTCTGGTTGATATATAAATATATATATTCTTTTTGAGAATAACTACGTTGACGAGTTTGGTCACTGTTTGTTTATCGTATATTATCTATACTGCATAATTTACATGTGAATCAAGTGAAAATCACTGACACTAACAGAACTGTAGACGTCATTTTATTTAAATTTCCTACTAATTTTATAATTATTGACCCTTTTTGGCTAGTTTATTAATTAATTATTATGCTTGGTCTGACTGATATATATTTTTTATTTATATTTCCTCGTAATTTTATAATATTTTTGTTTATGTATTATATCCCCTTCGTACCCTGCTGACTATTTAATCACAAATGTCTCAGTACAAGAGAAAAAAAAAATGATAGATTACAACAGGGAAATTCAAATGAAAATTTATTCCAACATAATTCTAATGATTTTCCAGTGATGTTACTTTTGATATCCAACTGAAAATTCAATTGAAAGATAAACCAAGAGGAAAATGCTAGCCATATGATCCTACGTAGATAAATCGAGTTTTCTTAATTAAATAATCACTCTTTAACAAAGTTAAGACTTTTCTAATAAGATAGTCACAAATCTAACTCCTAACACTTAAACACGCAAGAAAAATAAAACAAAGTCCTAAATCGAACATCAACACAATATTTTGGCCAAAACACAAACTTAAAGTAATAAGTACTTACCATTCTATCGGAAACTTGGACGAAAATAATGCGTAAAGATCGAATTTTGGATAAAAGTAAGGTCGCCGAAAAAGTCGCCGGAAAATGTCAAGTCTTAGACCTCCAAACTAGTGTTTAAATACAGTGCTTAAGAGGGAGTTCGCCCACTGAACCACCGGTCTAGCCACCGGTATGCGATATTACTGGTCGGACCAGTAATATCGGTGGTATTACTGGACTAGCAAATATAATGATATACATAAATATACATAAAAATATATAATACCAAATGAAAAAAGTAAAAAAAATAAATGACCATAATCATTAATTTCAACTTCTCAATGAGATAAAAATAAAATATTTTAATTACCAATTTAAATTTTATATTTTTAAATTAATAAATTTCTTTTTTGTATTGACCTGTATTTTGGACCGGTATTTACAGTATGACCCGGTACAAACCGGTATAACAGTAAATTCGGTATTTTGTGTGTAATTATACCGTACCAATGGCCGGTATCCGGTATTACAGGCCGGTACGGTACGGTATTTAAATCACTGCTCCGAACCAAAGCATAAAATAAAAGTGAGAAAAAAACTAATTTCCCAACTAAAAAGTTTGTTAATGAGTGTGGTGTCCAAAAAATACAAAGCATAATGTCGATTTATAGCTACACCACAAACACACACTAAAAATACAAACATTTAATGAATTATGTAGTTCGTCGGGTCTCGAAACGGGTTTCGCAGCGAGTGTGCTTGGTGTACAAGGGTTGGCCTAGGGTCCGACTCGTCGGGTAGCGAGTGGCAGCTTCCTGGCGAGCTGGCGCGCACGGTTAGCGCGCCCGCGAGAGTAAACTCGTTGGCGAGTGCGCCGTGCGCATGCGAACACGGGTTCCCTACGAGTGCGCTGGGGCCTGGCTCGTGGGGTCATGTAGGGGAGCTCGCACACGAGTGCTCGGCAGCTGGGCATACGGATGGTTGTGCGACGTGTTTGGTGCGGGATTGCGCGAGCAGGTGTGGCTGGTGCAGGTACGAATCCGATCATGGCTCGGGACGGCTCGAGTGGCTCGGTCGGCTCGGACGACTCGTTTTCCCAAGCTCGGAAAAATGGACCTAATCAACACCAAAAGAGACGAAAAAATACGCCAAAACACAATAACACAAGACGAGAACAACATATATTAAAAAGTTATACTTAATTTAGATCTTTATCTTGTTATCAAGAAAACAATATATAATTACTGATCTCAAAATCAAAATTAATAGTTGTCATACTTGAGAAAATTAGAAGTTATACTTAATCAACTATACTAATATAATGGATTTAGGCATTTTTATGTATAGGTATATCATATTTTAGATAGTATGATTGTCTAAACCAACATTAAGTAAAAATTGATTTTAGACCAATTTT